AGCATGCTCAAATATAATAAAAAATATATATATTTATTTGGCTTGAATTGAGTTAGTTTGATTTAAAATTATTTGATTTTAGGATGATTTATATATATTCATAATGAATTGAAAATTTTTAGAATTAAATGCAATATCATAAGACTTTTAATTTTAACAAATTAATAGCAGAATTGAACGCCTCGAAAAGACAAACCTAACGACATTAATGATGCTTTGTTTCATATCTAAATGAACCGATATCAAGCACTTGAAAAATATCTTATGGTTTCATTTGGGACGTTTTTCTTTCTGCTTCTTAAAGCGGATTTTTAGTACAACAAATTTATTTTTTTACTAAAAAGTCGCTTTAAGAAGCAGTAAGAAAGCTGTCCAAAACGAAGCCTTAAAAACTTCAGAATATTAATTGAAGGATAATTGGTCTATAAATATTGCATACATATAGTCAAATCGAGCGGCTTGATGAGACAAATTTAACAATTCTAAGATCACTTGATTTTGATGTAATAAAAGCACTTAAATTCTAAATGAATAGCATATGATCAAATTATTTAGTACGAGTTGTATAATGGAGTGTTATGAAATTTTCATCAAATACCGCAAATAGACTTCCATTCACCACACAAAGAAGACTTAAACTTGAGTTTGGAGATAGCTTAGAGAACTAAAGAATTCTAAAGCCTTACATCACTGCAAGCTATCGTCGTCCCCAAAATGTCGTTGACAAATTACCACTATCCGACTATTATCACTTGACAATCAAAATCCTTTTAATGCCGTCAAACCACTATCATTTGGCTTCCATCACCCAACTATTATCACCCATCCACTTCCTTCCAATCATTGTTGCCAAACAAGCATTTATCTTCAACATTATCCTCCACAATTGCAGAATGAAAAAAATAGTATTACATATTTTATATTACTGTCTTCTAAAATTGAAGGGAGGAGATAACTTTTGTAACCAATCTACATATTGGATTATTTATGCTAGATTATTAATCTAGGCCAAACAACATGATTTTTTTTTTCTTGTTCAATTTTTCTGCAAAAAAAAAAATTGATGTTTATTGCATTCTTGTGTTAGATCTTCGTATAAAGTTTTAACATAAAAATTCTTTCTCTATCACTGCAAATTTTATAGGATGACACAAATTTGGAAGAAAAATTAATGTTATTATTTCCCAACAAGTTTTTTAATAATTAAAAATATTGTTGAAAATGTTTTGATTTTAGTGATAGTGACTCTCACTCATCTAGACTTAGGCTTCATTTGAGATAGCTTTTTTATTGCTTTCTAAATTAGTTTTCTAGTACAAAAAATTTTTGAACTAAATTTTTTGGTACTAAAAAGTTGCTTTAGAAAGCAGTAAGAAAGCTGTCTCAAATGATTAAGTTTCATTTGAGATAGCTTTCTTACTGCTTTCTAAAAAAACTTTTGAGCTCAAAAATTTTGAATTCAAAAAATATTTGTACTAAATTTTCTTTTTTTTTAGAAAGCAGTAAGATAGTTGTCCCAAACGAAGCTTTAAGAGGTTGTCTAATTCAATGCATTAAGAAAGCATCATCACCTTCATCATTTAAAGTAAGTACTCCAATATTCATGACATAATCATGATGAGATGAGAACCTGAATCTTACTAAAGAGTCATTATCATTATCTTATTATGAGACCACAACACTCAGTAATGACTTTATCATCACAAAAACATTAATCTCGCATTTAAAGAATAACATATTATTACAAAATATCTTAAAAAAGATATAAGTGATGAGTACTCTTGCATTTATCTAAATACCAAATCACCCTAAATAAAATAGCATAATATTAATCACATTTCTTAAAATTGATAGTTGTTGTGTCCTGGAACATTTGCAACAATAGAGAGATATAGAGATTAACATCTTAGTTTTGAACGTATATCCAACATATAGACAGATAAAAGAGAGATGTGCAATATTCATAAGAGACAACAATATTTATACATGAAAAACCCTGAAAAGGGAGAAAAATCACGGGGTTTGACCCAATTTGAATAAATCGACTAGTATTGGTAGTTGATCACAAATGATGCTCTTCCCTCAGGGGAAGGCCTTGTCTCAATGTAGCAAATACAAATTATATATAACTTATTACATGCCAATTGTTCTTAAGAGGGTGTTAGCATGTTTATTTGATCAATAAGATCATGGTCAGACAACGAAAGTTGGAGGGATCATTGTCGGCAATTGATAGAGGTCAAAAGAATCATACTTGGACGACGGTGGCCAAGAAATCATAGTTGGCGGGCGACAGAGGTCACAAGGACTGAAGTCATGCGATGGTGATTGGTGGGATCGTAGTCGACAGAGGATGGAGGTCAGAATGATTGTAGTTGGGCGATGGTGGATGGAAGAACAATATTCAGGTGATGGTGGTCGGAGGGATTGTAATCTGGCTATAGTGGTTGGAAGGAACGTAGTTGAGCGATGGTGGTCGGAAGAATCGTAGTCGGTAAGAGACAATGGTCGAAAGGATCATAGTTGGTGGACAATGGTGGTCGGAAGGATTGTAGTTGGGTGACGGTGGTTAGAAAGATTGTAGTTGGCAAGGGATTGAGGTTAGAAGGACTGCAGTCGGTCGAAAGTTGTTGGAAGGACCGTTGTCAAGCGACTGTGGTCAAAAGGTCTGTAGTCAATGAGCATTTATGGTCAGAAGGTCTGTATTGGGGCAATGATGGTCGGAAGGATCATACTCGGTGGAAAACGGTGGTTGGAAGGACCATAGTTGTACAACGATGGTCGGAAAGACAGTAGTTGGCGGGAGACTAAAATCAGAAGGACTATACTTGGGAGACGGTGGTCAGAAGGACCGTCAATGGATGCTAGATGGAGGTTCAACAGCGATGGTTGGGGGAGATTAAAAAATGGTGGCTTGGTGGCTCGAATTTGCTGGTGGTGATGCTAGGGTAGAGCTATAAAATTCTCTAAGCCCAAGAGGTTTTTCTCTTCTTCCTCCCCATAAAGGCTCCAAGCCTCATTTTCATGTGGGAAGTTAGGGTCTATTTATATGTTTTTGAGAGTACATGCCCCGTAAATATTGAGAAGATCTGAGGCAAATACGGAGTACTTCATTGGATGACTCATATTGACCCCTTTGGTTATAGAGCATTTGTCAAGCTTTTATGTGCCCAAATGATGTCATAATTAGGTGCTCTCAAGCTTGTTGGATTCATCACATCGAGCCGCTCAATTCAACTATAACCCTGCTATATTTTGATATCATTTGTTCATCCAATTTATGTTCGAATCTTTCAATTTTACTTTGGGCCCTCGATTTAAACTCAATTGGGCTTGGATTGGAGTGATTTTAGTGTCGTTGGGTTTGTAGCTTTGAGACATTCCTTTTAACTATGAGATTGTTGAAATTGGAGTTCGAATGATCCCGCATTTAATTTTAGAAGTTTACCATTTGGATTACCTTGAGATTCGTGCCTGATAAAGGAGATTTTTGGTGACGTAGCAATAGTCTTTAGTATACATTCTCTGATATATTAAATTATTAAAAAAGTATATTAAGCTCTTAGGCTACCATCTCTTTTACATACCTAAATTCATTCAAGTATATTCTGTGATTAGCTTAAGAAATCTATTGTCAAGTTTTAAAATCATTTTATCTTCATAATTAACATCATGATTAAATAATTAAAGCGACTTTCTAGATTTGGTTTTGTTTGGAATAATTTTAGCTTTTGGATTTTTGCTTTTAAAAGCTCATTTTCTCAACAAAAAAACTATTTTTTAAAGGAAAAAAATGATAAAAAATGTTTTTAAACATATATTATTTTTTACAAATTATTTTTATACACAAACAGTTAAAAAATTATTTCAAATAAATCCTTCGGTTAAAGAAAAACCTTTTTGAAGCTAAAAGATAATTTATTTTTCCCACGTTACGGGTTAGAATATTAGCGGCAGTAAAGTAAGAGATTTTTCGTCTTAGCATTGCATGGATATCCAACACACAATCCGAGAACTTAACATCAGCATTTTACGTGAAAATCCTAAATAAAGGGAAGGAAAAAAATCACGGAGCCACACCTAGTTGAAATGATTTCATTAATATTTGAATGGATTACAAAGATCATCCCAAAATTTGAGGATGATCAGATTACAATAGTCCAGGAAGTGGGTTGAATTTCGCATGAACGATGACGATATGACATAAGTACAACAGTGGTAGAGCAGAAGTCTGATAGCTATCAATCCGAAGTTCAACGACGGTCAGTGGCCAAAGGGTGGTCGAGGTGGTCTTTTGGCAAGAGAGCTCCCAAATTTCTCTCTCTTATGTTCTTTCCTCCCCTTTAATGAATAATGAAAGGTCTATTTATAATTTTATGGAAGTGGCGAGACTAGTATCTCGATCATAGACTATTTATCAAGCATTTGAGTGTCTTAACGATGACAGAATTTTGCAATCTTAGCCTTGTTAGATTTGTCTCGTCGAGCCGTTGATTTGATTATAAGCACATCACATTTGAATATCATTTTGTCATCTAATTTATGCTTTGAACATTTTAAATAGGCTTCATATCCTTAATTTGGGCTCGGATTAGATCGAATTTAGCGTTGTTGGGTTCGTCACCTTAAGATGTTCAATTCGACTATAGGTTTGCTAAAATCAGAACTCAAATGGCTTTAAATTTAATTTAGAAAGTACCCAATTCAAATTTACTTTGAGATTTGTGCTCCATAAAAGATAATTTTTTGATGATATATCACCACACCATCGTGGCTAGCAAAAATTAAAAAATAAATTATTTCTTGCATATTTAATGAATATTTTTCATATTATTATTTAATAAAATAATTATCTTAGTATTAATAATGATTAATACTACAAAAAATTCTGGTCAGTACACGAAGTATTTTTCAACATGAGCTGGTGGCTGGAGAGGCTCTTGATTTCCTACGGTTAGCCATTACATAGTCAGAATGAGCCTGCAGGACAACTTAACGAGCTTACCCTGGGAACTTAGAAAAGACTGAGGACCGCCTTCACCAACCTCCATCAGCTTCGAAGTCTGAAATCCTCTCTCTCTCTCTCTCGCTCTCGCGCGCGCGCGTCAGAGCTTTTCTATTTGCTCTCCTGCGAGCAATCCTCGTCGCTTCGGTAAGATTTTTTTATCCTTCTTAGCTTTGATAAATCATTTCTGAATTTCTTCTCCGCAAAAAGGAGCCTCTGTGGTGTCGGTAGCTCTTCCGAGTTTTAAACGTTAGTTGCTTGTCCTAATTCCGCCTTTCAATTTGTGTTTCTTGCCTATTTTCGAGAGATGTTTTATAATTTTTTATCGGAAAGGCCGAAATGATGCTTCTTTAGTTATTTGCGTGAATCAAGTGGAAGCTGCGTGAATGATTTTGATGTTGGATCAGAAAAAATGGATGCTTTGGTTGCAGCAGTAGAAGATTAAGGGCTGGTTTGGTTGAGCTTACTTTGTTTTTCGTAAATGAGGTTGAGAAGTTTCTGTTGAAATGTTGCTTTATGGAATCGGGCCAGTTTTGTTGGGTTTTAAAATTTATCTGTTTTTTTGGAAATAAAAAAGTTGCCTTTGAGCAGATTTACCTTATTTGGATGAAATATCGGTTGCTTGTATTGAAATTTGCTTTGAGAAAACTGCTTCTTTTCAAAGTTGGACAGCTCAACCAATAAGGCTGTAACTTCCAGATTTTGTTCTAAAAACAGGTTTTTTTTTCGAAGTAAACTTCTCTGAAAATAGATCAGACTTATTCACTCAAACAAAATACAAGAAACACAGCCACTAATTCTTGTTGTTTTCCTTTTTTTCTGTTCTCTTATATTGATTTGGTTCTTTGAACTTTCTTGATGGAGACTGATTTGGGTGCAGATTTTGTAAAGTTTGGGAAAATGTCTAGTGGGGGTACTCAGCAGAGCTTGAGGAAGTACTTGGGGGCTATTAAGGACAGCACTACGGTTGGGCTGGCAAAAGTGAACAGTGATTATAAGGTATTTTGATTTAATTCCAGTTGAGGGTTTAATTTGTTGTTTACTGAATATTGCTGAAGCAAAATTGTATGTTTTTATGTAGGAGTTGGATATTGCAATAGTGAGGGCCACAAACCATGTTGAGCGTCCTTCAAAGGAGAAACACATAAAAGGTTAATGGAAATCTCTCTCAACATCTTTTACTAAGGCTTGAGAAGAATACTATGTTTCTATCAGTTTTTGTTAGGCTTCATTTGGCATTTTGATCTTATGTTGTGCTTTACAGTGTTGTACCTTGTTGGTAATATATTAAGATTGTTATCTATAATGTTGTGACAGTTGGGGTTTTTTGGTAAAAATTATTATAGCGTTGACATAAGTTGATTGAATTAACTAATGGATATTATTTTAATTTCCAAACAATTAAAAGGAATTTTTCATGATTTTCTGTTCTAATTTGTGCATTATTTTACACCACAATACGCTTCGTGTAATTGATCCTATGAATTTACATTTTTTTGGTAATGGTTGGATGGTTTAGGCTTGTTATGGCTGGGCCTAATGGCTTAGCTAACTCTTGAAGAGCTTAGAGTTGATTCTGTTTGTTTTACAAGATTTTAAGTAATTAGTGTAGGTTAAAAATATTCTGTCACACTTCTTTGTTATCTAGTTATGTTTTTGTTAGATCAGGCTAGCTAGTTCGACGGGACCGGCTTATGCGAACAGAGGCAGACTTTTCCGCCTACTGTACACGCCGAACGCACGCTCAAGTGTGCATGAGTTGTTTAGGAAGGTTTTTTGAGGGAGCTAGGAGGGAAATTTGAATGTAGGGACTATTTAGGGATTTTCTTTTGATTTGTATGCATTAAATAGTTTGTTTTCCTAGGATTATCACGTCTTGAATTTTGCTGAAATTTGAGATCTCTTAGTTTCTTTGGGCTCTAGCGGTGTCTAGAGATTTGGGAGATAAAGATCCTCCTTTTGAATAGAGGATCAATTGTATCTTGGTTTTTTCTGTTTCCCTTTCATCAAATAATACAAATTATCTATTGTTTTGTGGTTTTGTGTGGATTTTTATGGAGAATTCTAGCTGTTTTCCGAAGATTGATAGGAAACACTTGAGATCTACTAGTGTTTCCTATCAATTTTCTTTTGACTTTATCTTTTTAGCACAATTGAATGGTAGTTTGTGCGCACCAATAGGACAGGTGCAATTGTTATATTGCATAGTTTATAATCTAACTGTTTCTATTTGTTGCAAAATATTTTTCCTTGATCTTTAATGCCCTATATGGATTTTGAAGTCCTCATACTCTTAAAGTATCTTTAGAAATTATCTTACTCTAAAATTTGAAAAATACATAAAATTTTGAAGCTATATTTTTCTCAGGAGCATCTATATTTATATGCAGCAATTCTGTGTTACTAGTTAGCCATATCTGTCATTCACAGTAGTCTTTTTGTTGTGTGCAGCAATATTTTTTGCAATTTCGGCGTCAAGACCTCGGGCAGATGTGGCGTATTGTATTCATGCTCTTGCCAGGCGCCTTTCAAAGACACACAATTGGGCTGTATGTACATAATTACAATTCTTAGTCTACTATGTCTTCACACTTTTTCTGTATATTTTCAGTGAAATTTGTTGTCTTCTTAAGTTGCCATGTTTTTTTTTTTCAGTTAAATAGTAATGTTTTCTTCTTGTTTAAAGACAATCTGATGGAGATCAGGAATAAGATTGGACACGTGTTTCATAATTTACACTTTGAGAAAACAGTGAAAGAATTTTTTAGCTTTATAGTCTTTTGAAACTTATAAGTAATTATGAATCTTAAAATAAAGTAATATTTATTCCAAAGGAAAATATTTGATTTGATTTTTAAAGCAAACTTTTGTTGTTTGTACCAAATTAACTTGGAAGAGATCTATGATATTCTTGACTCAGTAGACCAGCTGAAGTTAGATTACTAGGACTAAAAAAATTTACAACTTTTGAGAACTGCTTTCCATATTAATGATTGTGATCCTGAAAGTTGTATTTACAAAAAAATTTCCTAGGAACTAAATCTTGTTCCTTAAAGTCTAGTTTCTTCAGATTATTGACAATATAATGGAATTAGTTTTTTCTAAAACTTGTATGATCTACTTAAAAATTATGGTCCATAATTTTGATGAATAATGTTAAAAACTGTCATAAAAACTTCAAACTTCAACTTGCAACTAAAAGACCTCTTTCCTTAATGCTTCACACATGAGAATTGTCTCGTCCAAATTTGTCTAAGTTTTTCATGCTTTTCTCAAGAGAAGATAGCCTTTCTTCTTATAGACTATAATTGATCTCCCATAGATGCTGTTAGAACATCTCCTTCAACATTTTTACTTTGCTAAGTTAGAAGGGTATGTTATCTTAATAGAATTGTTATGTTACCATATTAACATTATAGCATATGCTTTATATATGATTATCTTTGTACTATCATCATAATCAATCAATCAACAATGTATTTTATAATTTCTATTAACTTATAATACTAGCCAATTCGTTCCCTTCCATAACTGATCAAATACTATTCTCTTTTCAGGTTGCATTGAAGACTTTAATAGTTATACATCGAGCTCTGAAAGAGGTTGACCCATCATTCCGTGAGGAACTTATTAGTTATGGAAGAACCAGAAGCCATATGCTAAATTTGTCACATTTCAAGGATGATTCCAGTGCATATGGTACTTATTCTTACAATTCAGCTCGATCATGTAATAGTTAATGGACAGGTTACTCATATACTGTCATTTGCTTCTCAGCATGGGACTTTTCAGCATGGGTCCGCACGTATGCTTTGTATTTGGAAGAAAGGCTTGAATGTTTTTGTGTTATGAAATATGATGTACAGATAGATCCTGTGGTATGCATCTTCTTACAAGCTTTTTTTATTTCTTTATAACTTATCGAATTATGTGTAAAAAGGATTTTCTACGAGTGACAAGCAAAATTTTTTTCTAATGGGGGCACAAATTAGGATTTTCAGATTTTCTCTCAATTGGGACAAGTGTTATATATCTTCAATCATTGTATATGTTGTCTTCAATTTTAATACTGATTAAAGCTACTGTGGTATAGAAAACTCGAGATCTAAATACTGTTGAATTGCTTGTGCAATTACCAGCACTACAGCAACTTTTGATCCGTCTTCTTAATTGCCAGGTTAGTGATTCTTTTCATAATATGGGTATATTAAGCCTTTAGGGGCTGTTCGGTAGCAGGATTTAGGCCGGATTTGAGGCGGATTTGAGCGAAATCCAGCCAAACGGCCTAAAATGCCAACCCAAATCTCACGGCAAATGAAAGCCGCCGTAGACAGAAAATTCCGTCTTTTCATGCTAAATCCCGGATTTCCGAAATTCTGTTTTTTGCTGGATTTACGGAATCCATTGGCTGGAGAGGAAGAGTTCGCTCATTAAATCCGTTATATAGCCAAACAGTCACACGATATTTAATAGGATTTATCATGAATGTTACCAAACAGTTTTAAGGATTTAGGCTCGTCAGGATTTCTGAAATTCAGATTTAGCGGATTTAAGAAATCCTACTTAAATCAAATCCTGGGTGCTACCAAACAACCCCTTAATATGCTATACAATTTCAACAAAAAATTGGCAACAAGATGGATAGTGAAATGTTTTGTGATATTTTATGCTGGAAAATTTTATGCAGCCACAAGGGGCGGCTTTATATAATCTTGTTATTCGGTTGGCAATTTCCATTGTAAGAAATCTTTGCATACAGTCTTCATGTTACTCAGTTTTTTTGCATGCCCAGTTCTGATTTGTTCTTTTATAGGTTGTTGATGAGAGTACAAAGATTTATAATGCCATTAGTGAGGGTACAATCAACTTGGTTGACAAGGTAATTTTACATTTTTTTTGTTATCATGTAATGGATTTTATTGTTGAAGGCAGCTAATGTCTGTTATTATTCCAGTTCTTTGAGATGCAGCGCAATGATGCTATTAAGGCACTTGAGATATATAGAAGATCATATCAACAGGTAAATTCTTCAAGAAACCCTTTGTGTGGCTACTTGAAGTGGCCATTTTAAGTTTACACTTGCAGAAGTATGTGGACAGTTTTGCCTTTAACTTATTTGGGAAAATTTTGTTTTTCACAGTGGCCATTATTTCTTTTTAATTTTTGTAAACAATTACTCAAGCTACTTGTTAAAATTATTAATTTTTAAGTTTAAAATACAAATTTGGACTGAAAATACTAATCATTTGAACTGTAAACTTAAACATGTTTGGAAGCATTTGGGGTCAATATACTCGTAGTAAGCTTAGCATATTTATGCATGAAGGTACTTCGGAAGCTTTTTGATTAGAAACACTTGAAGATTTCAAGTAAATCCTATCAAGAGAACAAAAATTGTGAGAAATTTCCATGATTCCAATGAAAAATCAGTGGAAACCAGTAATTTTATTGCAAGAAAACAAATTACGGAAGAAAATAACAAGATACAATTGATCCTCTGTTCGAAAGGAGGATGGATCTCTCCCAAATCTCTAGACGCTGCTAGAGCCCAAAGAAAACCTATGAGATCTCAAATTTCAGCCAAATTTAAGATGCCCTAATCCTAGAAAAACAATCTATTTAATGCTAGTGGAGTGATTGAACAAACTCGTGTTCAACTTGAAACATCTTCCTGCACTCATGTAGCCACATAAAGGACAAAGTTTATCCCAATGGATGTCCCCTAATCAGCTTCTCTGACAACTAAATCAAAAAATTTGATCTATGAAGCACGATCAAATTGGAAAACTTGATAATTCCTTTTTATCCAATAATGGAAAAAATTTAGTCAAGAATGAATGAATTTGCATTAGCACCATGCTTTAAGTATAAGTGCAAAATGACCAAAGCTATTCTTTTTTAATTTGGATTATCAAAGTGTGCATATTTAACCATGTAATCTTTGCGAAGCTTATCGATTGTCATACATGATGTTACACTTCTACAATCTTTTCATTTATGGTCATTGAGGAACCTATTTTTTTGAAGAAAATTCCTTCTATAAGTCTATGACTGGTTTCCTGTGGTCTCACACTTCTGTTTTCATCCTCACTTGATGATTATCTTTGGTTTGCAGTCAGAGATGTTATCAGAATTTTATGAAGTCTGTAAAAGTTTTGGTATCCGCCATGGAGAAGAGTTCATTAAAATAGAACAGGTTTGATTTCGTGTAATGAGCTTTGATCTTTTTTTTTTTTTTTTTCATTCGACTACATCTGAACAGTTCAAGTGCACTGAATTGCTTCATAATAATGCAGCCTCCAGCATCATTTCTCTCAGCCATGGAGGAGTATGTTAGAGAAGCTCCGCGAACTTCAACTCTCCGGAAGGATCAGGTAAGATATGCTTCTCAGATTTAAATCATTTGCCAGTATCTACTTGCTAATATTATGTCATTGTTGTTCATCCAGCACCCAGGAAAATAACAGAATGTAGTGATATTATATTGTCGAAGAACCTCTTAAAAGTTCAAAATTTTTTATCACCTCATCAACATATCTTATTTAATTCCATGAATAGAATCTCAGTTGTGGGTTAAGGCTTCGTTTAAGACAGTTTTCTTACTGTTTTTAAAAGCAACTTTTTAGTAAAAAATTACTTAAACTAAAAAAATTTGTACTAAAAAACTGCTTCAAAAAACAGTAAGAAAGCCGTCCCAAACAAAAGCCTAAATGGCCCTTATTCAGAAGTAGACTTATTAGAGAAGTGAAAAATGCAATATTCTCAGATTTAAGATAAAGAAGGGTCTGAGGAGAGGTTGACATATGCGGTGTTATCCCTATATTTACAGAAGTGTTATTTCAACTACTCAAACTCGTGGTCTCTATATGTCAACACGTAGCATCCAATTACTGCTATTAGATAACAAGCTTTAGCATATTTAAGGTTTGTTTGGGATGGTTTTCTTGCTTCTTCTTAAACAACTTTTTATTACAAAAAAAAAATTTTTTTACTAGAAAGCTGTTTTAAGAAGCAGCAAAAAAGCCGTCCCAAACGAAGCCTAAATCAATTTATCATTGTCATATATGCATGATTCATTGACTTAAACATGTGAAATTCCCTGTGGTTAACTTGTTTGTTCAATTTCTATTGCCAATGTAGCAAACCAGAATGGAGGTAATATAGGAATTAAAGGAATGTGAATATCAATTTGGTTTTCATTAACATAGGACAGTGATAATCCTCAACAATTAATTTGATCTTAAAGAGTTACATGTTTAAATTTTTTAGCATCTGTACCTGTGACATGAATGGGAGAAAATTTTCTCCAGTTGCAGGGGTGTAGGAGTATTTAAAATGAAATACAGTTCCTATTTAATTCACTTTTATGGTGTACATAAAATTGATTTTATTGCTTTTTTGGTGTTATTTCCCTAACTTACTCTTCGTTTGAGACGGCTTTCTTACTGCATCTTAAAACAGTTTTTTAGTATAAAAATTAAAATTTTTGTACTAAAAAGCTGCTTTAAGAAGCAATAAAAAAGTCATCTCAAACGAAACCTTAGATGACATGCATGATACTGTTTCTTGTGAATAAGTTTGTGAGCTTGTTTGCCTAAAATTTACTGCAAACAATCAGGTAAAGGAAGAGAAGACAGAACCAAAGGCTGTTTTGGCCATTGAAGAAAATAAAACTCAAGAAGAGCAGCAGGCAGTTTCACCTCCTCCTCCACCTCCTGAACCAGCAAAAGTAGAAGAAGCCACAATAATGCCGAAAGAAACTGATCTGCTGGTATTTTGAAGCTCAGATTTGCAAATTTATAACACAATCATGCATTGTTTGCTCAACTCTGATATTAATTTTGACTTGTGCCTGTCAGGGAATGCATAATGAAAGCCCAGATGCAGCTGAGTTAGACAACAAAAATGCTCTAGCCCTTGCAATTGTTCCAGTTGGTAAATTGCTTTCAAGTTTCTCTAGTCAAAATAACTAAATCTAGAATTTAAGTTAATTGAAAGTAGATAGATTATCAAGTGATTTTCTGAGTTTCATAGTAGTTATCAGTCCTTTTGGTATTGGATATGATCGATTATTTTTTATTACTAATTGCTGCAAGTTTTTTGACAAAATTTGCAGATAATCCATCAACAACTACTACAGCAGGTGGTCTTGCATCAGATGGAATTGCAGGGTGGGAGCTGGCTCTGGTTACTGTTCCAAGCTCAAATGAGGCTGCTGCAGCTTCAACAAAACTGGTACATACCCCACATATCCCTAGCAAAAAGTTTTGAATATTCTCTAAAGAGATTCGATTTCTTTTAAGGGCTTATTTGGTTGCTCATAGATAGAAATTGTTATTTAATTTTGTTTATTTTTATGAAAATGAGATCATTATATTTAAAGATGTTTTGTGGAGTTTGCAACTAATGTTGAATTCTAATTATACCTAAAGAGGAAACATGCTCTACAAAACAATGAAATTTTGATAGATTCCACCATTTGTTTGGATATGAACTGAAATTAAAATGGATTTTCATTTATTATTTATTTCTTATGAATTATTCCAACTTTATTATAGCTAATCTGTCCAAAATTTTAAAGAACTTACAACCCTTCAAATCCCTTAAATGTAAGAATTTCGTTCATGCACATCATGAGTGAAAAGGAACACCCAAACATGTTGAAATTACATTCAACTAAATAGTGATTTAAGAACTAACAATAAAATTATTCTCAACTAAGTATTTTGAGTTGATTTTAGAATTACAACATTTAACCCAAAAAAAAAAAAAAACTATGATTTGTAATTACTTGCTAAATTTAGTTTGAATCCATCCAAATGGTCCTCAATATTGTTGTTCTCTTTGAATGATTTTGTTCAGGCTGGCGGAATGGATATGCTAACATTAGACAGCTTATACGACGATGCGCTTAGACGAGCGAACCAACCAACGAGCTACAACCCGTGGGAGTCAGCTTCATCCGCGCCCAACATCATGATGCAACAACCAATGTATACTCATGATCCATTCTTTGCATCAAATTCGATTTCGGCACCATACAATGTCCAGATGGCAGCAATGGCTCAGCAACAGCAGGCATTCATGCAACAACAACAAATGATGATGATGATGAGTCAACAGCAGCAGCTCCATCAACCTGGCTTGAACCCTTTTGGAAGCACATATGCTCATGTTAATACACATCCTTATGGATTGGCTGTCCCAGTTCATTCTTCAAATTCGTATGCCGGATTTACGTAAAATGTTGACATAAAAACTATTGATTTTGATGTCAAATGAAGCAAAATTTAGTGACGAAGGGGAATGTTTATGTATCATGCATCATGCATCATCCATGTCTTATATTTTGTAGAAATAGCATTGGTTTGTTTATTTGGGGTGAGTTGGTGAGAGATTGTTATGTAAGAATGTATTGGCCTTGAGATTGTTTAGAATTCCTGTATATTTTGTTCTTGGTGTTAAGCATTGGTTACTGTTTAATTATGAAGGAATTAGCGGACCATTCAAATGCTAACCAACGATCAAGAGTGAGAGCTCTCAATGACTCTTATCTCTATGTTGCTTGAACAAATTTACTCATTATATTTATATAGTAGTAAAGATGAAAGAAAGAGCTCTTCCCATTTTATCTTCTTTGTAGTTAACAAAAAATAATAATTTTTTTCTTTGGTGTGCCTCTTTATGCATATATGCACTCGGAATCCATAATTATAGTTACTTATGGTGATTTCAACACCTTCATAAAGGGGAAAACTTGAAATAAGTATATTCTGAGGTACCTGCAGCCGCTCTATCCACCTCCCTCCTTTCGATTCCTTCCTCCTGGTTCCTCCAGCCGACGTCGAGCAGCCCGCAACTGAGCCCCAGTCGCACTTCAATCTTGCCCGAGCTTTGCTCAACCCTTCCTCACCCTCCTCCTCCTTATAGTTGAACTACGTTCGACTCTAGCTTCCCGGATCCTGCTGAAGCTGGCTCCGACCTTCGACCGATCTCCAAAGCCGCAAGGCCCGCACATCTACTGTGCCGATCCTTGGGCAAATTATTGGGTCAGGTGACCGAACGCAGAGATAGGTTCGGATAATAATAAAATATTATTTTAAAATTAGCGCAACTAAAGCGCAACCAAAGCGCAACTAAAGCGCAACCAAAGCGCAACCAAAGCGCAACTAAAGCGCAAGTCAAAAAGCGCAACTAAAGCGCAACCAAAGCGCAACTAAAGCGCAACCAAAGCGCAACTAAAGCGCAAGTCAAAAAGCGCAACTAAAGCGCAAGGTGACACGGCAAATTTTTATTGGCTGTCCGAACTTATCTTTTGGCTCCGGTCACCTGACCCAATAATTTGCCCGATCCTTGACCCTCACTCGACCGAACCCAGCCGCTTGTTCCGCACCAACCCACCTCCCTTTTCAGTTTTCCCGTCTTTTCCGCCATTGCCCTAAAAAGTTGCTCATTATTGTAATCTATCATCATCATACCTCCGATTTTAATAATTTTGTATTTTTTTTTTTTATGAATTTTAATTTAGTCAAATTTGTAAAAGTTATGATAATTTCATTTTTAGCAAATTTTTACTGCATAATTTTTGGTATGTAATAGATGTCTTTAATATAGCATTTTGACAAGAACATATTAATTTTTATTGGGTAAATTGGAAGATAATTTTCTAAAGTAAATATATAGTAGATAAATTTGATAAATTTCTTTAAATAAAAGGTTGGTGGTGTAATTCTAGTTGTTGCTTGTAATTAATTGGCCTAGTTATACCAATGAGTAGAGGCTGACGACTCTTAAATAATTATTAAAATTCATTTGTGAAAATAAATGATTAATATAAATAAATAAAAAGAAAAAATGAGATTGACTGATGAATAGTTATGATACGTAACATATGGAAGGAAGAAAATAGCACTTTAAAGCTGGATGTCCTACCTTTCTTTTTATAATTATATCCATGATTATATTTACATGATAGTAAATTAAACTTATTGATAGATAGAAATGAAATCATATTGACATTAATATTTATATAACATAATATAACACACTAATATGACTCATTGGGTGATAGCATTCTTTATTAATTTTTTTAAAATAATTTGATAGATCACTTTTGACCTTACTGATCATATTAGTTTTATTCTTAATTTTAAAAATTTCTTATTAATATATTAGTTGATGATTGATATTGGTTAGAACTAGAGCAAGCATATTTAATCTTCTGCATTGATTGAAGTCAATGGTAAGTTTTGATTATTTGTTGGTCTTTATATAATTTTTATATGATTTCAAGTAAAAAATAAGAGCCTGTAGCTTTAGGCTAGATAATGATGATCATGTTTGTTTTATTTAAAATTTTTTGGTTTATATGAATTCTTTTGTAGCTTGGGTGGATATTGTATATATATTTTTAAGTTTTAGAGCTTATAATAGAATGTAAATCTTATCAGTAATAATACAATTATATTTTCCCGTTATTTATTTATTTTCTTTTAATCTAATTAATTAGTTTTGGATATTAAATTGATTTGGTTATAAATGAATGACTATTGGCTATTAAGTGAAAGAAAAATGAATAAAATGAGTTGGAAATATAATAAAGAAAAAAAAAATCTACTTTAGATCTTGAAGTGTTATACATTTTGTGTACTTTAAATAAAACTAGTATGCTATGTATGATACTGACCACTTTCTTGACTCGCTCATTCGCAACTAGTGTTCCTCCACTAATATTTTCAAGGAGTTATGGATTGCTCACGGGGACAAATTATTCAACTTATACAAAATACATAAGTTAAATGATGGATTCTAAATAGATGATTATATTTTATACTAGGGGTGTCAATATTTGACACGACACGAAAATCTAATCTAAATCAGACCAGGAAATTTTGGGTTAGACCCAATCCGTTTCCAAAACAGGTATGGTTCGGGATCTTGGATTCGACCCGTTTGAAAAACGGGTCGAGTTTGGGTTGACCCGACGGGTTGTCGGGTCAACCCGAAAACCAGTTTGAAATGACTGCTCGGCTGCCCGAGCCTACCTGCCCCTTGCCCGGCTGCTCGTAGACTTTCCCGCCCGCTCGCGGACTTGACCGCCCGCTCGAGGACTTGCCCGCCCGCCCATCGAAGATGCCCGCGCCTGCCAACACGTGACCGCGCCCCCCAACTCGCGGACGCGCCAACTTGCTCGCGTCTGCGTCCGAGCCTGAGCCCTCGTCCAAGCCAGCGTTCGAGCCCGCGTCCGCGCCCGCGTCCAAGCCCACCTTCATGTGTCGGGTCGGTTCAACCTGGCAACCCGTCGGGTCGGGTTCGTGTTCGGATTTCCAACCCGATTTTCTACCTGGGTTGGGTTAGGGTCAACCCGTTTGAACCCGGGTCAATTCCGGGTTCGACCCGAACCCAACCTATGATCCAAAATTGACACCCCTATTTTATACCATGAAAAATAATACAAGTACAAATTTGAAAAGCAGTTGTCTATTCATTTACATCATTAAATTGTCCTTACTCTTTAGGGTCACTTTTATGAATCTTCATTTTCCAATCATTTATACTAAGTGTTGTGTTAAATCTATCCTTTGCAAATCATTTTATAGCGAGTACTCTAACCCTAGTCCACTCCTCCCTAATTCTTTGATACTAATTTCTTTTACTCATCTAATGAAGAATTTTCTACTCATCATTGTCCATGTTCATCAAATCAGTTAACCCTATTTTGAATTAACTTATATTCAATAAATGCCACTCCAACTATCTCTTTAATATATTCATTCTTTAATTAATCTTTCTTAATTTTTTCACACATTCATTTTAACATTCTTATTTTTTTATGCTCAACTTAATCATCAATGATTTTTTTCCCAATATGCAAATCCATATAACATCAATACATCATCAACTTAATTATAGTTTTATAAAATTTATTTTTAAATTTTTAAAAATCATCTTACCACATAGAACACATATGACACTTCTCAATTTTACCTATCCAATCTCAACTCCAAAAGTTATATCAAGTGTCTATATCATCATTCTTCTATATAAATAGATTTAATATATTTATGTCCATGACATCTAGGTATCACAACATCTTATAATAAATTCATGCTCACTAAAATTACAAAGCATATACTCAATTTTGTTATGCTAATTATCAGTCCTTTATCTTCTAAACTTTTTCTTTATTATTTTTATATTTTAATTAACACTGTCATTATCAGGTCTCAAGTCTTGGATAAGAAAAGTTGAGGGTTGTGTTAGATAGTCAACAATCAGCATAAAATTTGTTGAATAATCATGACATAAATCATTTAATAGATTGTGTTAAATTTTGATCGTTCCCTGAAAGTGATGTGTTGTATGACTTAAATACAATGAGAAGTGTGCAAGGGTCACCACACCGTCGTTTGGGTGTAGTGTAAAATAAGCAAGGGTTGTCATATCATGGACAGATGTGGAAAAAAAGCTAGTTAACGAAATTAGAATTATGATAAGAACTTGAAATATAAGTTCTCTTATAGACAAATTAATAAAATTAATATATATTATGATCCATAGAAAGATAACTATTTTATACATTCAACAAGTTAAATATCTTGGAGAGAAGGTTAAGGAGATTAATATTTTAAGATTTAAACTATGATATTCAAGTATGAGTTGTACTAGAAATGATATACATCTTAATATTTTAAGATTTAAACAATTATATATAAGAGTATGAAGGATAACATTATAAAATTAATGAAATTAAAAATAGAATTATAATTTTAAAGATTATTTTTGATGCTAAGATTATCAATGTTATAAGTGCTTATGCTCCTAAAGTAATTATTATTAGAAGAGATTTAAATTGACATATTGGTAGAGTGAGAAGATCTTAAAAGCATTCATAATGACTATGTATTTGGAGAGATTAATGGAAGTGACATGATCATATTAGATCTTGTCCTAACTTATAATTTTGTAATTTTTAAAATCTTATTTAAGAAAAGTGATTAACAACTCATAACTTATAAGAATTGATATAATAAAACTAAATTTGATTGGTTTCTTATAAGAAAAATATATCGACTAGATTACAAAGATTATAAAGGCATTATAAGTAAAAATTTATACACCCAACATCACTTCTTAGTTTTGGACTTAAAGATGAAAGACATAATATAAAAAATAAAATAAAATATTATCCTAGGATTAGATAAAGGTATTTAGAGTGAGAACACTGATAAAAATATATATTTTTTAATGAGTAGATTTAAAGTCTTAAAATTTTGACTAAGCATTAGGAAGCTAATGCTATATATATGGCAAAAAAAATGATATTAAGATTACTGCAAATGATATGCTTGGAGTATCAAAAAGAAAAGCTCATACTTAATAAAAAAAAAAAAAGTTGTTAGCTGAATCAAAATATGCAAAAAAAAAAAAATCAAAGATGTGAAGTTTTATTATAAAACTTGTTTAGATATAAAAGCTCAAAAAATTTGAAAAGATATAAATAGGCTTGTAAAGAGTTTAAGAAGTAATATGCAATGCAAATAATTTAACTTTTAATAATTTATATAATAGATTATATATTATGGAGGGCTAAAGATATATGTATAAGTTAGTCAAACAATAATATATAAGAAATAAGAATTTAATTCAAGTGAAGTTTATATATATATATATATATATATATATATATATTTGCTTTATCATCATATTAGTAAAACTGAAGTTAGATAGACTTAAAAAAAATAAAGTGTGGAAAGACTGTTGGACCTTATAATATTTCAATAGATGTGTGGAAATGCCAAGGAGGTGAAGGAATTTTTTGGCACTAAAAATTTTTTAATATTATTTTGAAGACAAAAAAGATGCTAGATGAGTGGAGTGTGTGTGTTGATTTGTATTTTTAAGAATAAAGATGATGCACAAGAGTGAGCAAATCATAGAGGAATTAAGTTAATATGCTATACATTAAAACTATGGGAGGAAGTTATTTAGCATATGTTACAACATGATACTAATTTTTCTTAAAATCAATTTGAATTCATGCCAGGTAGTATGGAAGCTATATATTTGTTGAGAGGTTTAATGAAGAAAAAAAGAGAGAATACGAGGGAACTATATATGATATTTATTGATTTAGAGAAAGCATATGATAAGTTCTTAGAGAAGTGTTATGGAGAATTTTAGAAAATAAATAAGTTAATAATGCTTATATTCAAGTCATTAAGGATATGTATGCAGGAGCTATTACATGTGCTTAAACACAAAATGATTTAACCAAGTCTTTTCTTATTTCAGTTAGATTACATCAAGATTCAACTTTAAGCCCACATCTTTTTTGCTTTAGTCAAGGATGTTCTTACTAGACATTTGTAAGAGGAGGTATCCTGGTGTATGCTTTTTTCTGATGATATTCTTCTTGTTGATAAGACTAGATAAGGAGTTGAAGGAAAACTTGAATTATGGAGGTCAACATTAGTGTCTAAAGATTTTCGTTTGAGTAGATCTAAAACTAAATACATGGAGTGTAATTTTAATAATAATGAATTTAGTGGGGGGATTGTAACTTTGAGAGATCAAGTCAATAAAAAGATTACAAGTTTTAAATATCTTGAGTCTTTTGTTCAAAGTGAGGTTGAGAAAAATAAAGACATTATTAGTAGAATTCAAGTTGGATGGTTGAAGTGGAGGAATGCATCGGGCCTGTTGTGTGATAGAAAAGTTCCCCTCATACTTAAGGGAAAATCCTATAAGATGATGGTGAGACCTACAACACTTTATAACACATAATGTTAGATAAGATTATAGAGTCTTCTTAAATGGCTTGGACATATAAAATGTAGGCTTTTTGATGACCTTGCTAGGAGAGTAGATGTATTAGATTTGGTGGCCTATATGATGAAAGATAGAGACAAGCTTAAAAATACTTGATTTGAAAATATTAAAAATGATATTTTTTATTTATATTTAAATGAGAATTTGACTTTTAATAGACATTATGCATAGAGAAAAATCATTCATGTAGTCGACCCCACGTAGTGCGATAAATACTACATATTAATGTATTCTAATATTTTAATTATTTCAATAGATGTTTTATCAATTAAAATTATATTATTCTAAAAACAAATACACCAATACATCTCAATTAAAGTAGTAGTGCCATCCATACTTGGAATGGGCACATCACATGCAAATTCTTAGAACAATGAAAAGGTACAGCAACAAAAAGTGTATGGAATCAACATTTTGTTATTTTTGAAGATAGTTTCAATAATACTTGCAGTCCAAATAACCAAACCTTAGAAGGTAATTTGGATAGGATGTTGAAAGAATTTCAATCATATAGTTTTTGCATTGAACTATAGAAGAGTACCCACTCAATTGGAAACCATTTATATTATCAAACATATCAATGAAATTTTAAGCATAAAAAAGGATAACAAGCTTACATTCACTTCACAATGTTACTATGGCTTCCACAAAAGCAAAAAAAACATTGATACCCCTGGGGCAAGTTTGGTTTAATGTTAGAGGAAATAGAAAAGTGAAAATGATGTGCTACTCCAACTATTGTATTAATGGAAAGGAATAAGAAGGAAATCATTAGTCCTATTCCAACTATTTTGGGATAGATTTATGAATTTTCATTTTTATTTATTCAGGTTGAGTAATATCTAAATAGCTAAGCCAATTATTTGCATTTGAACTTCTACCCATGTAATCATAGATTATCCCTTCATTTTTCAAATCATTTGACACCAATTTCATCTAATTGTCAAATAGCATAATTTCTAGCCTTTATTATGCATGCCCAAATCACCTAAATCTATTTTTACTTACCTTTTGTTCAATATATGTCGTTCCAATATTTCTTGTACTATTCATTAGTTTATCATTCCAATTTTTGCCACACATCTTTAACATTTTCATTTCTATCGCACTCAACATATATATCAAAGATATATAGCCTAATTGTTGAATCCATATAATATTACTAACCTAATTTTAATTTTATTAAATTTATCTTTAAGTCTCTATGATACAATCCTATCACAATTCAGTCTAAACTCCAGAAGCACATAGTTTTTATTTTAGAAAATGTTAAAGATGCCACACATAATTCAGTCTAAAAGAAAATTTTATGCTAAAAAATTATTTTAGATATCAATAAAAAAACTGTCTCAAATGAAGCCAAAGTTTTAACTCCAGAAGTTACACCACCATCTATATATAACTCATTTTTTTAGTACAATAGATCCAAAATACATAGGAGAAGAAGAAGAAGAAAAACTAAGGAAACTATTTAGAGAGAAATTTTTATTATTTCTATAAACTACAGCATTTTAACAAAGTTTATCAAAACCAATAATATACACACAAAAAACAAATCTTTCTTCGAAGAAGAAGAAGAAGAAAAATGTTCAACATGTCTGTTTTAGTATATAACAAGTGTACAAATCCAGTCTGCACAATCTCCCCCTGCTTCGCAATACAAGAAAAAGATGGATTTAACGAAAACAACAACAACAAAAATCACTAAAACACGATATACTTTAGTATACAATTATCAAAACAAAATTGTTCTAATCAAATCCAAGCTTTAGCTCCAAAACCGGACTGTTTCCACCTTCAGCACTCTCCAATGGCGGCGGCAAGTTTAAATCCAGCAAGCACTCGTCTTCCGAACAAAAACAAGAAGAAGAGGAAGAAGGAGAAAATTGATCTCGAAAACCCTTTCTTTTCTTACTTTTGATTGAGTCATCAAAGGAAGAAGACAATGGCTGGATAATGGCGGCACCGCCGAGTTCGCCGGAGGAGGTTTCCGCAGGTGGGCCGTTGGCGAGTAGAACGAGTGAGGAGGCGACTTGGTGTTCCTCGTCGGTGAACTGGGCCCGGGGAGAATGCGGCGGCGGAATAATTCCTCGCCACTGGCGCTCTGGATGGCATCGCATGTGACCGAACAGAGCTTTCCATGAGGGGAAGAGCTTCCCGCATTCAGTGCAAGGCGGAATGGCTTCCGGCATGCCGGAGAACTCGGGCTTTTTTGGGGCCCGTCGCTTTGTGGCTCCGGCGGGTGGTTTTGGTGGTGGAAAGCGTTGGGGATGATTGGGAGGAGGAAGAGGAGGATGTGAAACGGGAGGATCCGCTGGAGGAGGAGAAGAAGGATTTGAGGAGTTCATCATGGTGAAGTTCGAGATTTCATTATCGAATTCTTCGTGCGTGAAGATCGAGCGAGCGGCAAATAGCGAACAAGAGAGCGGGAGGGGCTCTGTGTGGGTGAATTCGAACGAGGCGAGAGGGAGAGAGAGTGGGTAGTTAGCGACGGGAGTTGTGAGGAACGTGGGCGGGAATATCGAGAGATCGAGAGGAGTAAGATAAGATCAAACGGTTGTAATTTGGTTTAGATAATTTAAAATCATTTACATATATAAATAATATAATTTTAATATATTAATTTTAAAATAATTTCCTAGTAACTAAATCTAGTTTCTTCAAATTAGTTATGATAACATGGTATTAATGTTATCTTAATAAAAGTGTTATGTTACCAACTTAACTAACCATATTAACGACATTATAGCAAATGCTTAATATTTATTGAGAGTTTATAATATTTATTATTATTATGGAGGATATTCTCTATTATTATATATTTTTTCCTTCTTGTTCCTTCCTCTTGCCTTAATATATGCTTGCTTGTTCTACCATCATAATCAATCAATCAATGATTTAGCCTTCTATTATTTATGTCATCATATTAGTTCTTCGATCTCACGAGAATATTAATGATACGTCGTCAAAAAAATTATCTTAATCGGGCGCGAATCTCGATGCAAAATCAAATTGGAAACTTCAAAAATTAATTCGGAGATCATCTGAACTCCGATTTCAGCAAACTTATAGTCTAACTGAGCGTCTCGGAAATATGAACCCAACGACACCAAATTCAACTCAATCCGAGCCCAAATGGGTCCAAATCAAGGATCCGAAGGGCTGTTGGAAGGTTCAAACCACAATTTGGATTACCAAACGATTTCCAAACATAACAAGCTTATGCTCTAATCGAGCAGCTCGACGAGAAAAATCCAACGAGTCCAAGATCGCCGAATTCTGACATCATAAGGTCTTCAAATGTCTAAAGAATGGTGCATGATCAAGGGATTCAACATCGGCTGTTCATCCGACCACTCCCCATTTACCCTTGATCTCTCACATATTTACAGGCCATGCCACTCCAGAAATCTATAAATAGAGCTCCCTCTCCTCTTGAGAGAGGACCCCCTAAGCCTAAGAAAACAAGAGAGAGATCGGAGATCGCTCTTGTTTCCTTACCTCCTCGACCACTGCCGAACTTCTGCCGAACCACCACTTGAGGCCCTCGCCTTCCTCAACAACCACCGGGCTTGTGCCGGACCACCACTTAAGGTCCTCACCTAGGACCACCGCCTGACGCCGTTGCTCCGCCGGACCACCACTTGAGGCCCTCACCTTCCCCGACCACCTGATGTCTAGACTTCCGCCAGACCACCACTTGAGGCTCTATGCTCTGCCAAACCACCACCGGACTTCTACCGAACCACCACTTGAGGCCCTCACCTCCGCCGGACCACCGCCTGACGCCGTTGCTCCGCCGGCCACCACTTGAGGCCCCCGCCTTCCTCGACCACATGATGTCCGGACTTTCACCGGAAAACCACTCTGGACTTCCGGCGCCGGACAACCACTTGAGGCTTTGTGCTATGCCAAACCACCACTTGACGCCCAGAGTTCTACTAGACAATGGTCTTTCAGACCCCGGTCTCCTGCCGACTACGGTCCTCCCGACCTCAGTCGCCTACTATGGTCCTTCCGACCTTCATCACCAGACAATGGTCTTCCAAACCCCAGTCTCCTGCCGACTACAGTCATTCAGACCTTCGTCGCCTACTATGGTCCTTCCGACCTCCATCACCAGACAATGGTCTTCCAGACCCCAGTCTCATGGCGACTACGGTCTTTTCAGACCTTCGTCTCCTACTATGGTCCTTCCGACCGTCATCACCAGACAATGGTTTTCAAGACCATAGTCTCCTGCCGACTACGGTCTTTTCAGACCTTCGTTGCTTGCTATGGTCCTCCCGACCTTCATCACCAGACAAGGGTCTTCCAGACCCCAGTCTCCTGCCGACTACGATCCTGCTGACCTCCGTCGCCTACTATGATCATTCCGACCTCTATCAATAGACAACAGTCTTTCTGATCCCTGTCTCCTGCCAACTACGGTCTTTCTGACTTCCGTCGCCTACTATGGTCCTTCCGACTTCTATCAAAAGACAACAGTCTTTCTGACCCCGGTCACCTGCTGACTATGGTCCTTCTGATTTTTATCTCTTGCCGACAATGGCCTTCCAACGAAATAAACATGTCTATGTTGATTATTGTAACTCCCACCATATAATGCGTTCTATATGATGTACATTTGTAACATCAGGCCAAGGTCTTCTCCCTAAGAAGGACCTCATTTGTAATCGACGGTAAATACTAGTGGATTCATTCAAACTGGGCCAAGCCCCGTGGTTTTTTCCCCTTTTTAGGGGTTTCCACGTAAAAACTCTGGTCTCTTATAAATGCTACACCCTCTCTCACTTTTCTGATTGTGTGCTGAATCTTCGTACAATGCTAAGATGTTAAACTATAAATTTCTTTACCGCCACGAATACTCCAGGACGCAACAATGAACACGAATTCATTTTCATTTTTTGTTTTGTTTTGTTTTGAAGATCCTGTGAAGATTCCATGATGATCCAATGAAGACCTTTACAGGATCTTCAAAATTTAACAAAAAAAAATAAAAACTATGATTTGTAATCACTTGCTAAATTTAGTTTGAATCCATCCAAATGATCCTAATATTATTGCTCTTTGAATGATTTTGTTCAGGCTGGAGGAATGGATATGCTAACATTAGGCATCTTATTTGATAACGCGCTCAGACAAATAAATCGGGCAACAGGCTACAACCCGTGGGAAATTAAATGTAATAGAAAAATAAAAAATCTAAAATAAATAAAATAATATAACCTTATAAATATAATTTTATAATGTAAACTTTATATATAATTTATATGTATAAATTATATCTGAATATATAACATAAATTAACAATTATTTACATATAAATTATATTTCTATTAATTATTTTCAGAGATATTTAACTTTAAATTTAAAATTAGTAATTATTTATATTTAAATATATAATATAAATTAAAAAATATTTATATTTAACTTTAAAATTATGAAATATATTATTTATGTGTGAGGTTTTTTTAAGTATCAAAATTATATTATTTCTTGATTATTACAAGGTACAAATATTTTCTCTAAAAGCTGGGAAAATATTTATACTAAAGCATTATCTCCGTTGACATGTTTTTTTCTCAGCCTTTGCACGTGAATGATATACAACCGTCAACTGCAGCTATAGCATTAATTGTCTTTTATACAAAACAGAGTTTATAGCATTAAATGAGATACAACCGTCATAATGCCATAACAATTTTCAAAGATGATTGGGAAACCTATTTTAGTTCTTGGTTCAAAAAAAAAATTTCATCTTTTATATTTAAAAATTGATTATTATGTCATGTCCAACCCATGCTCGTATCCTATATTTTCAATAATTGACGTAACCTGTGTCCGTGTCATGTCATATTCATGTCGCCGTGTCCATATATGTGCATCACAATTAGACAAGTATGTCTGTCATGTCTTAAATATTTAAAATTTCTATGCATAATAGGATATTAGATATGTTGGATTGGATTCATTATCTTAAAATCATGAAACCAACTTAGTTTGATCAATCATTTCTATCAGATAAACTCATGCACTCCCTGATTAGACCAGGAATGTGATTGGTAAGGATCAGGGTAAGATAGCTACAACATAAGAAGGGGGAAAAAATTCAAGGTTGTGTGATGGAGAAGCTAAAAGATCTTGATGGTAAAGACTAATTTGATGGCCCTTCTGGAGTTGAAGGTTATTCATATGTTAGAGTTTTTAACGGTCTTGGAAGATTGTACAGCGTTATCAGGTATGTAGGAGAAGGTTTCGGTTGAGTAGGGCAGAGATGACGGGGTTGGGTTAATGGCTAATGAGGGATAGCTGAGAATTAGGTTACAAGAAAAGTGACCAATGAAGAAGAGAGAGCATAGTAGAGGAGAGTTGGGAGGAGAATATATATATATATATATATATATACCTTCAGAATAGTGCAATGGACCAAAGCACCCAAAAATAGAAAGTGATAAATGTTAATAACAAGAACAAGTCAAGACAATCATCAATATTATTAGGGGTGTCAATTCGGGTCAATCCAAATCCGATCCGTTTTTAAAAACGAGTCGGATTTCTAGACCTGAACCCGACCCGATTCGGGTCCGGGTCAATCCAACCCGACATGAATGACCAGGGGTTGACCCAAAATTGCTGTTTTCGGGTAAAAAATCGGGTCAATCTTCGATATTCAGATAAAAACGGGTCAATCTCGGGTTTTCGGGTCAAATACGAGTTTTCGTGTTAATTTCGGGTCAATTTCGAGTTGCTATGTCAACCCGAAACCGACACGATTTTTAAAACCAGTTGATTTGTTGAACCCGAACCCGAATTTTTCCGGGTCGGATTCGGGTTGTGCCAAAAATTGACACCCCTAAATATTATTAATTTCATTCCAACAAGTCAAAATCTACCAGATAGTTCTAAATACACTTCTAGATAGAAACTACCTTCATGGTAGTAGAGAGCAGCTTAAGACAGATCTAATAGCTTAGCTGACAGGCAATTTCCCTAAAAGTCATTTACTATACTTTTCCTTATTCCATCGTAGAATAATCTAGAAAAAAAAAAACAGATTCTTTACTTCCGATAAATCTTTTGTAAATGCTGAAGAAATCCTTAGAATAACATACTAGAGGATATTGACAATTAAAACGTACAAATTTAAGATAAAATACAACCAGAATTTATGCAAGCCTACCACTTTTACCATGAGCTAGTAAGTCGGTCTAAACATCTAAGCCGAAGAGCGAACTTGTAATCTTCTCCTTTCAAGCTCCAGCTTCATAATCACAAAAGCAAATCAGAGTGATTGTAAGATTCAGTTACATGCACAAGTTTTAGCAACGTTCAAATAATAAAAGCTTGAGAGGAAAACAAAACGAATGAAACAGCATGAATGATTCATAAACCGAAAATCATTAGTAGAAATTGAATGCTAATTTCCAGAGAATATCAAAATAAATGTTCATGATCCCCTGGATAAGCAAAATTTTGAAGACATCAATTCTAATAACAATTAGGCAAAGATTAGTTAAAATATTCAAGATTCTTAGGTTTCATTTGGGACGGCTTTCTTACTGTTTCTTAAAGCTGCTTTCTAGTACAAAAGTTTTAATTTTTTTACTAAAAAGTTGTTTTAAAAAGCAGTAAGAAAACCGCCCCAAATGAAGCTTTAATATTTACATGAAGATACAAAGTTCAGAAGAACAATGTTGAGAAGTAAATAAGTTATATATATAGGTACTGACCACTTTCTTGACTCGCTCATTCGCAGCTGGTGTTCCTCCGTTAACATTTTCAGGGAAATATGGATTGTTCACTCGGACTTCGTCCATCACAACTATGGCAGTCTTATCCCAACGAACTGGAAGCCTGAATCCACGGGAAAAAAGTGATAACTGATATGAGTGTGGCGTAGAGAGAGGAGAGGACAAAACCAAGTAACATTCTGTGCAAAAAGCCATGTCATCAAGAAAAATTATTCAAATTACGAAAATACAGCGGCTAAATGATGGATTCAAAAACAGTAAATTGTGTTCTGTAACACAAAAAATACAAAAAATAATAGAAGAACAAAATTTAACATCAATCATCTATCCATGCATCATTCGCATAATTTGTCCACGTAATGGAATTAATGATAAAGCCCATATTTTTTTGCTTTAGTCATGGATGTTCTTACTAGACATTTGCCATAGGAGGTACCCTAGTGTATACTTTTTGCAGATTATATTATTCTTGTTGATAAAAGTAAAGAGTGAGTTGAAGGAAAAATTGAATTATGGAGGTCAACCTTAGAGTCTAAAAGTTCTGTTCGAATAGAACTAAAACCGAATACATATAGTATAATTTTAGTAGTAACAGATCTAGCATGAATGCTGGTCATTAAAAGAAAAACCTTAAATAAGTTGAGTGTTGCAAAGATAAGGATGCTCAGGTGGATGAGTGGCTTCGCTCTTAGAGAAAGAATACAAAATGAGTATATACGTGTATACGTGAAAATGTAGGAGTAGCTCCAATTGTAGATAAAATTAGAGAGTCACCTTAGAACTACAAAAAGTATTGCAACAAAAAAGAGTATGGAATTAACATGATATTAATGAAGATAGTTTCAATAATACTTGCAGTCCAAAGAAAGAAACCATAGAAGATAATTTGGACAAAATGTTGAAAGAATTTCAATCATATAGTTTTTGCATTGGACTCTAAAAGAGGACCCACTCAATTGGAAACCATTTATATTATCAAATATATCAATGAAATTTATACATAGAAAAAGGATAACAAGCTTGCATTCACTTTACAATGTTACTATGACTTCCACAAAAGCAAAAAAACATTGACATACCCCTGGGACAAGTTTGATTTCACGCAAGAGAAAGTAGAAAAGAAAAATGATGTGCTACTCCAATGATTATATTGATGGAGAGGATTAAGAAGGAAATCATTAGTCTTATCCCAACTGTTTTGGGATTCTTCATGAATTTTCATTTTTTATTTATTCTGATTGAGTCATATCTAAATAGCTAAATTAATTCTTTGCATTTGAACTTCTATCCATGTAATCATAAATTTATCCCTTCTCTTTTATAATCATTTGACACTAATTTTATCAGCTCATCAAATGGCATATTTTCTAGCCTTTATTATGCATGCCCACACCACCTATATCTATTTTCAGCTACCTTTTCTTCAATGGATGTCATTCTAACATTTTGTAATGCAATCCTTCATTAATTTATCCTTCCAATTTTCGCCACACATCCTTGAACATTTTCATTTCTATCAAATTCAACATATGTATCAAAGATTTTTTTAATTGCCTAACAGTTGAATCCATATAATATTACTAACCTAATTTTAATTTTATTAAATTTAACTTTAAGTCTCTATGATAATCTCCTATCACATTCAGTCTTAACTCCAGAAGCACTAATCCATTTTAACCATTTAAGTCTTAACTTCAAAAGTTACACCACCATCTATATCTCATTTTTTTATAGTGCAATAGATCCAAGATACATAAATATTTCATGCAGTATTTTGGAGACTATCAACCATCCCAAATGTTTCAAAGTCATAATGGTTTGTTGTCATAATGGTTTGTTTCTCTGATCGATGCTTGCACTAGGGTCACATAAATATTCTTAATCGAACAAAATATGATGTAAGCTACATTGTCCATACTTTTCACTTGGTGATTCAAAATCAATTTTGGGTAAAAATATAATAATTCCAATCTGCCAATGTAAGAGATTATTTTAATCAAATTCTGACGCCTACTTTCAAAGTAAGGCATTATTCATGAATCATCATGCATAAATACACAAGACCAAAATAAGATAGTTAAAAAAAAAACCATCACTTAATATAACACTCCAAAAACCTATTGGGACTTGGGAGGAGGTTGCCCTTACTGCCTCATAAATGATAAATAGACTACTTTCACAAAACATAGGAGTATCAAACTCCCATGGAATGTTTGCCAAATTTTATACTCAGGTCAAAGCTTGTAACAGTCTTACACTAATTTTTTTTAGTTGGACCTCCTTGATCCATATTCATAGTCAAAATAGAGAAAAATTAGATCTCAGAGCTATCTATTGTTAGTTACTTGGCCATTCCTCTACAGAAAAAGGGTACAAGAGTTATCCTCCAAAAGAATTTTAAATTTAACAAATGTCACTTTTGTTGAAAACCATACTCTACATTGGTTTATTTTCAAACGGAGACTTCAATAATGGAAAATAAAATCTATGGTATCAAATAAAACAAAGCATGGGAGATTATGAATAAACCTAAAAAAAAGAATCTAGAAGATTTCAAATAGGCGTTTACTTTAAAATACAAGTTTAATAGATCTATTGAAAGATATAAAGCAAGATTGGTTGTTAAGTGTTCCACTGAGACATATGGTGTTTATTATCAGGAAATATTTATCCCTATGGCAAAAAATGAAGAATGTGAGAATTTTGTTCTCTGATGGCACATTTCAATTGACAACTTCAACAATAGAATGTGAAGAATGTACTCTTACATGGTGGCTCAAAAGAAGATTTACATCAGTACCCTTCAGGAATTGAAGGAAAGGGAATAGCTACAAGAAATGTAGACTAAGGACAGCCTTCTATGCGCTAAAGAAATCATCTTAGGTTGAGAGGTTAGTGTGATAAAAAGAATAGCACATAAGAGTGAAGGAGATCATACTCTTTTAATTCAAACATTCATAGTCAGGGGGGCATGACAATATTTCTAGTATATGTTGATCATACTCTTTTAATCAAACATTATAATCAAGGGGATTAACAATATTTCTAGTATATGTTGATGATATTTTATCAAAGTATTGGTGAGAAAGAGAAACAAAGTATGAAACAATATTTTATCAAAGAATTTGCGATAGGAAGATTAGGATCCTAAAGTGGTTTTTTTTTTAGAATTAGTCTTATACTCAAGGAAGGAATTTTCATCTCACAACAAAAATATATAGGACCTCTTCAAAGAAACTAGAAAGCGTAGTAACAAACCTAAAGTTAAACCCATTAAGCCAAACAAAAAATTGACGAAAGCTAAGAACTAGTTATTGATAGAAAGATAATCAGATATCGGTGGGAAAACTCATTCATCTTTCTAATACATAATCCATACTCAACATGATTAGTCAAATTCATACATGAACTAAGAGAAACACATATAAGTTGCATATCTTGTGCTACACCAATTAAAAGGTAATCCAAAAAAATAAATTAAAAGAAATAATGAACTCATATTGGAAGTCCAAACAGAAGCAGATTATAGAGGTTCAATAGTGGATTGGAGATCCACATCTAGTAATTGTAAGTTTCAAGATGGAAATTAGATAACATAGAGTAAAAAATAAAATGTGGCAGCTAAATTCAGTGTTGAATAAGAATACAAAATTATGGCCTAGGAGTTTGTGAACAATTGTAGAAGCATATTATTAAGTTAAGACTACTAAGTGTTGCAGAGATAAGGATGCTCAGATGGATGAGTGGCTTTACTCTTTGAGACATGATACGAAATGAGCATATACGTAAAAAAGTTGGAGTAGCTCCGATGAAAGATAAGATTAGAAAAAATCGCCTTAGATGATTTGGTCACATAAAATGGTGGACTTCCAATGACCCGGTTAGGAAAGTAGATGTATTAGATTTGACTTATGTTAACAAAGATAGAGGTAGACCTAAAAAGACTTGGTTATAAAAATATAAGAAATGACATTTCTTTATTAAATTTAAAAGAGAATTTGACTCTTAACAGGAGACAATGAACAAAAAGGATTCATGTAGCCGACCCCATGTAGTGAGATAAAGGTATGATGATGTTGTTGTTGTAGTTTGTGAATTATTGTGGTTGAAGATCATCCAAGATGATCTAAGAGTTAAGTACAACGGTCAAATGAAGTTGTATAGTGATGATAAATCAACTATAAATACACATAATTCAAAGCAATATGATAAAAAGAATCATATTAAGATTGACAGACATTACATCAACAAAAAGCTGGAAGGAAATTTGATATGCATGCCTTAGGCGCCTTTAAAGAGTTGAATGGAAAATATTTCTACAAAGGGACTCAATGCTATAACCTTTTATAAAATTGTTTTCAAACTAGGAATATAATACATCTATTCTCAAGCATGAATGGCAGTATTGGGGTGTATGGGTGCTATAATAGGAAGCTCATGAGGCAAATCAAATTATATATATAGCCAACTAGAGAAGCTATTAAGCACATTTTGTTTGGAATGTCATTTTAGGTCCCTTAAATTATGGGCTTGTAAAGTTGCATGGTATTTTTTCTATTTTGGTTTTGCCTAATCTTCTTTTTTTCTTTTCCTAAAATAGCTTATATATTTCCACCAATTGCTTCTCTCTCTCTCTCTCTCTCTCTCTCTCTCTCAAGGAGAAATTGTTTAATTGTTTAGGAAGATTTCTTAAATCATGTTTAATTGTTTAGGAAGATTTCCTAAATTATACTTAATTTGTTTAAGAATGTTTCTTAAATCATATTTAATTGTTTAGGAAGGTTCCTAAATTATATTTAATTATTTATGAATGTTTCCTAAATTAGGTTCAATTTGTTTAAGAAGATTTCCTAAATTATATTTAATTGTTTAGGAAAGTTTCTTAAATTATGTTTAATTTGTTTAGGAGGGTTTCCTAAATTATATTTAATTGTTTAAGAAGGCTTCTTAAATTATATTTAAACTGTTTAGGAATGTTCTATTTATGTTATTGTGTTCTTGGGCTATCTAAGGGGAAGCTATCTAGAGTTTTAGGAGCATGGTATTAATGAATTTTGTGAGTGTTTGTTGTCTATTGCTTTTGTGAGGGATTCTAGCGGCATT